AGACCAGTATACAGGGCTGGTTCTGGCTAGAACGTAGGTGTCTAGTCACGACCTATAGGGAGACTTAGGATATGGTTTACCACCTTAAATATCCGTTTGACCCCTTGTACCGGTACTGCAACTTTAAAAAAAAAAAAAAAAAATTTTTATAAATAATTTATCCATTTTTATATATAATTTATCTATTTTTAATAATTATTTGTGCATATTTTATGCTGTATAATATATGCACATAAAAATTTAATGTGCACATATGCACATTATGTACATGAATTTTACACACTGATCACTACTACAAATTTCTGTATATAATATTCTATTATACCTATAAAATACAAGACGAAATTGATACTAAAGCTCTGGCATATGCTCAAAGACATGAAGGAAGATGCTTAGATAAAGTTAGTCCTAATAGTCATGTAAAAAGGGTCATCAATAGAAGGCGCTATATAAAAATATGAAACAGAATTATAGATAATGCAATATTTGTCCTAATATACTGAAAAGAACATGCTGGTATATACTTGAGGATTTATTACATAAAAAATTTTCACTCTGAAAGCCTAAATTCTTAGAGGGATTACATTTAGATAGTTATAAACTTGACCTTTGAATATAGTAATAGTCAATATTACCAAATTGTCCTTTTTTTTCACCTGCAAGGGCAGATAAATCTAGATGCATAAATCTGATGTGATTGGGAAAAGAAGACGCTATGCTACAGGAAAGAAGTAATCCTTATAACTATACCCTATTGTGTAGTAGACTTAGAAACTTTTATAAGGAGTGTCTTGTATGCATTTAGTTATCTCCCAATACCTATCTAGGAAGCAACATAAGTTCTTTCTTAATATGTATTAACTGTTCTTTTACGAAGGGTTGTTAAAGCTCTGATTCATCTAAATAATATAAAATAGGCATTAGAGGATTCTTTTCAATAATAATTCTTTGAATTTTATGCAGGCTAGAAAATCTGTTATTTTGTGTCATTCAAAAGGATCATTTTTCATTTTCCAGAAGTGAGTATAAATCAGATAATAGTATCCTTTAGTAGTTGTGATTCATCAACACCTATTAGGCGATTATATTTTACTAATAGTTTAGAATATATCCGCTCAAGTTTTGTGACATTATTAGGACTTATCCTAATTAATCAAGTTAAGCTATTTTTCATATTATTAACAATTTTTCTTGCAAACTGCTCACATTCTCTACAATGCTTGCTAGTAGGTAGAAGAAACTCTACCGAATACTGATTTTTAAAAATTCTTCTAGAAAAATATCCAGCATAATTGTCAAGAATAACCAAGTTTGTATATCTGAAATATGCTATAATCCTTCAGATTTCAACATTATGTTCATTTATTAATAAAGTCATATATCCCATAAACTCAGTACTTTTATAACTTTGTAATTTTTAAGGCCAGTTGAGAGGCTTATCAGAATTATTATATATACTCTTAAATGCTTCTGTGACTTCTTTACTACTTTTTAATGTTAAAAAACAAAATCTTTAAATCTTGTTACGCAGTCTATAACTAATAACACATAATAAAATATTGGATCATTATTTAATAAATTTGTATCTATATCATCATATAGTATTTTGATCAAATCACATTAATGCATAGTATTTGGCTTTGTGATTTTAGAGTAACTGGCATAAAGTATATGCTTTGATAAAAGACAGAAAATTTGATATATTGCTTAACCCTCAAGCCATTTTTTTACATTAATAAATGAAAAGCTGTAGCTGGCTTTTTTATAAGCATCCCATAATCCCTTTGATACAAATATAGATGCCTGCCGAAACCTTCTCAAAATAATTTCGTCATACCTTTTTCTATGTTTTTAATATAGTTTCGACAGTTTCAACTTTCGTCGTATCGAAAGGGTTTTATCGTATCTCTTATATGATTTTAATATAATTTCGTCTAAGTTTCGACTGTTATTAAGGGATTTCATCCCTCATCATTAGATACAAATCTTCAAGATGATAATATAGTTTTTGTAAAGCAAGATACTGGTTTAAATTATGATTTTTTGGGAATTTATATTAATTGTAGATGTTTGTTTTGCTATAATTTGGTCTAGCTTTCACGCTTTTTGAGGATTGATATAAATAATCAGTTCTCCTATTCCAATTTTTTTCCTTGCGATTAACAAAATATGTTCCTTGAATAATTATCCTACTTTTCAAAATACTATGAAATTATACCTTTGAAAAAACAGAATCCATTCGCTTCTAAACATCTATTTAAACTACTAGTTGCAGATACCTCTGAGTCTAAAAAGACGAGCATGATAGTACATCTGCTTTTAGGAAGTAAATATCCAAAAATCTATTTATGGATGCTTAGTGAAAAGTATGGTCATAAAATATCAAAGGTAGGAGCAGAAATTTTAGTAAAAGGTATATTCTGTGTGATGATCTAATTGTTATCACACAACATCAAGATGAAGAATTATAGGAAATAATATAATATTTTTATGAATTTATAATCATAGATAAGTAAGCTCTATGGTATGAAAATGTGAGATTCAAGCTAATTGCGCCTGAAGAACTACCTGATATTTCATCTTTTAAAAGAACTGGTCGATTTACTATTATAGTCTTTGATGATCTTGCCAGGGAACCTTTAGTAACTCAGCTAAAAATTGTTCCTTTCTTTAGATCAGGTAGATATGATAGAATTAGCTCAATTTATATAGTCCAATATTTTATAAAACCTATTCAAATATACGCATAAATCTTAAATATATTTTATTGCATCGTGAATGTAGGACATTAAATATAAAGCAAATTCTTAAAGATATATATAATGATTATGAGCTTCTAGCAAAAAAAATTTATGAGGTAATAAAAAAATACTTGGATATCTGAAGACCATCTGAGACCTCTTATCAATTAGATTTAAATGAGATAAATCTTTAAAAGATAGCTGAATTCGAGATGATTCATACTTTGTGACCTCATCCATATCTATAAGGTAAAGTTTCATAGGAGGTAGTACTATTTTTTAGTTCTTCTGTATTGTGGATTAGGAATGCATAACTTTGATTTCTATTTAAGGGTATTTTATAGTTCAAAATAATTTTTTCTTTATTCGAATATAGATGAGAGAATACACATCATAAGATGTATATAATTAGTAATACTATTATAAAGATGATTGAATGCTGAAAAAATAAGAAATCTAATATCTCTTCTTCTGAAGCATTTTTGAGATGCTCTATTTCTCTATTGAGATTTTGAATTTCTTGCTCATACTGAAAATAATCTCGCTTTAATTGATTAATTCATCTTTCATTCTGATGATTATTATCAACTTCTGTTTGTTATTCATTATGAAGATGAAAGTTCTCCTCCTTTAGCTCAGCTTTATATTTTTCACGTGTTCTTCTCTACCTTGGATGAGGCCTGTGAAATGACATTCTTTTTTCGTGATTATAAAAGAGAATAGGTGAACCTTTAATTTATGTAGATCTTTAAAAAATGCGTGATTTTGATTAGGATTTTACTTTACAGAAATATAAGAAAAAAAGTACCCCTAACTAATAAGAAAAATCTGATTTTATAAATATCAGCTTTTTTTCTACCTCCTGTAGTTGCATCTTTAGATCTTCATTTTTATATCACAATTTCTTATTCATACTAATCCACTCTCTATATTCTCTTTCTATGTCTTGCATAAATTTTCTGAAAGTTTGTCTATTATAATCAAGTAGATACTGAATTAATACTTTAAGTTTATTCATAACCTGCTGATTGTTTTCTTTCTCATGATCATAGACAAATTTATCAGTTTTAAGCCTATTATCTGTAATGAATATATGCAGTAATGCTGAAAATATATTACATTCTGGTCAGCTTTGAGATCGTGATATTTTTTTCTAAGCTATAGATTTGTTACATCATTTTCTATTTAATAAATTATTATAAACTTCTAATGTATGTCTTAAATAAGATTCAATTCGTTCAGACTTTTTAGAAATAGATTATAATGAGATAGGATCTTTAAAATAGTGCAAGAGTCTTTGGCAAGCTCTCTTGACAAGACTTTCAGGTAGTTTATTGATAATATGTTTATAGTCAAAATAGAACATTTTATTAAATATAGTTTTACACAAAAAAGTTTGTACAGAAGAAATTCACCCTGGAATAGGACATAGCATTAAAAATACAAATGAATATGTAAAAATAATCGGCCACCAGAGCACTATATTAATATAGAAAAGTAAAATATAAATTTACTATATATTTTCATCAAAAATTATTCGAGGATGTTTAGAAACATCGTTGTAATCTAATGATAGCAAAAGAACGTTCATTAGGTATCACAATCAAAGATAAGACTAAACGAGATGCCAGTTCATTCTTAAAATACGAAAAGACATTAAGTTTCACATATAATTGGGAATCCTGGATACACATGACGAATAAATTCGGCTACAATTTTATGGATTTTTAAATAAGCACAGACCCTTTCTTTTTCTTCTCTTATTGATAGCAATTTTCATTAGGTATAAACTTAGTGGATTTGTTGAAGGGAGAAGACAATGATCAGTCAATTCAAACAGGTTTGTAATATAACTACAGGGAATAGCTAGTACTTAGTCTAGATTTATTTGATTTACTTTTGTATTTCTTTTATATGAATTTAATAAAGTTACTGGCAATGCTACATCGTTAAAAAAAAAATTTACTATATATACATAACTTATTCAGAATCTATATTCGAACTGTTTTTGTTTCTCTTGGACCTAACTAGAGATGCGTTAAGTAGTAAAGACATATTCACTATTAGAATATTTTGTAAAATTAGTAAAGTCCTTATAAAATTTGTTACAATAGATAGATCTGATTGTTGTATAGGGATTTCTACTTTATAAAGATGGTAATAATGATGTACATTTTCTATATCTCTAATGAGAATATTTAAACGTATTATTTGTCCAGCCATTTGCATTTCAATAATTCTGAATTCATCTTTATCTAGCTCAAATGATTTGTAAACCCAATACATCCTATCATTAGTTTTATATCATAGCTTTATTTTATCATCTTTTTTTTTCTGTGATATACAAGATAAGTGTGAACTTTCAATATATATGAATTCGTATTTTTTTTCATTATGCTTTATCATAAACATGATATCTGACTGTTTTCCTACTTTCCCTTCACCTTTCCTATCTGAACTAGCTGAACTTTAACATTCAGCACTAAAAGATAATAATATTAATATTAGTTTAGAAGTTTTTAACTTGACGTTCGCAATACAATTTTTCTAATTATATTATTATTTACCTGCTGACATAAGATGACCTTTCTAAAGGAAGATCTTTTAATATGGTCTGAATAGAGAAACTATTACGTTAGTCACATAAGTACTTTTGTTTTATGATTTTGCAAACTCAGAGCTAAAGGCAGAATTATTTCATGAATCATTTAGAGAACCCAAAATTCTTAATATGACGTTTATAAGCTCCTCATCTGATTCTTTTCATTCTCCATTATGTGAAAGTTTTGTGATAAAATGCTCATATTACTCTTTGTAAAGTTAACTACAAATTCTTCACATTTTTCTTATATAATTCATGGAAGTGATGAAGGAACCATATTCTCTACTGGTTTCTAAAGATAGTATAATGATAAATTAAAATAATGTCTAGTGTTAGATAAAAAAACATGAGATTGTACATAAAAAAAAGAATTTTACCATAAAAGATTTCCTTAGCCATTCTGGTAATTTTTGTATCAGATCTGAATTATCGCTAATTATTTAGTTAGCTAGAGGATCTTTTCAAGTTAAATCAGAAATAGATACTTCATTTACACCTAAAAACAAATACTGGTAAAGCTGTGACGTATTTTTTCTGAGTTTACCTTTTAGTGCTTTAATATTTTTTTGATTTTATCTGAAGTAAAAGGTCTTTCTCCATTCATTTTCATTGCACTAATATTATGTAAACTATAGATTGTTTTAAAGCCAATTTTGAACTAATGCAGATATACAATTAATTAGCCCAGGCATATATGTTAAAAAAAAATCAAAAGCGCATGCGCTGTTAGATTAAAATAAAGCCCTATTCTTGTATGATTAGCTACTCCAACACTCAAATAAAAACTTTATGTAATACAGAAATAACCACATTAAATTAAGCATATAACTATAGCCTAACTATCCTTCACACTGCTAAGGAAAAATCCTGTGAATGGGCTAATAGGATATTTAGTCTATTATGCTCTCTCTCTCAGAATGGTATCACTATTTATGTTATTCATCACTCAAATAAATTCTAGTTATCAGTAGTTCAAAGTTTGATATTTTACCTCTGGTAGAATTTTGAGAAGAGTAGTATGACATGAGGAGCCTTATTCATATTGATTTTTCACAAATACCACAGCCCGCTCAATAATACTTTTTAGCTTATTTTGAGCTATCCAGGAATTTTTTTCAATTTCTTGGTAAATAACAGACCCAGTAATAATATTCTCTTCCTCAGCATTTGACAAGAAATTATAAATTTTAGTGTATATATCGGTAGGCATAGCTAAAATAAAAGAATTTACGAGATGTAAAAATACTTAACTCTAATATACTGCCCAGTCATTTTAAATCTCATCTATGCTCTCACCAACTCACATTCATGTTGGGGAGAGAAAAAAGAATATGCAAGGCAGTTTACGCTGAAAGTTTGTATTCAAAAATAAGAGCATGTAGAATGTGCATTAAAGATCTCGACATTTAGAATAGTGTTGAGAATAATGTATATACAGACTTTTTTCACTTGCCTGACTACTTAATAGTTAATACTAAGAACTAGCAACATTATATAAATATATTTTGCTCAGAATCAGTGGTATCAGAGAGCCTGTTCCTTTAAAGCAAATATTTATATCAGTAAATATTATTCTGCTAAATCTTATTTCGTTAAATGTTGTAAGGAAAAAATTTGAAATATTTTAAGGGATTGATTTATGTGTAAAATTACTTTATCACACAAGCATAATTTCACAGATGATTTGCGAAGTATTACTATTACATTATATATACTTTAACAAGGATCGAAAATATGCTAATTTATATCATACATGCCTACATGCATTGGCCTTGAGACGTTTTGCATAGCTGGAGAATATATTATTTTATTAATATAATATTCAAAATTTGGGTTAAGGTCTGATCTGAAAAATTCAGCACACAAACTCACAATTATCATCTAAGTCTATGAAATTCATGGTAATATCCTTCCTGTAAATATGATATACAGTCAACTCTTGATATAGCGAACTCTTGATATAACGAATTTTTGAACAAATATAATAAAAATACTCTTGTTATAGCGAATTGCCCAATCAAATCTCTTAAAATCTTCACTATAACCTTATAGTGAAGTTGAGGTCTAAGACATAGAGTTTGTTATAACAAGAGTTGACTGTATATATTTTAATGGTGAATCACATATAATTTTCATTTCTAATGATTTAATCTTATATATCTCGTATTCTAAAATTCTGATGAAGTATACAAAATTATACTTTTTATGAATACTATAAAATCTGGGATTCTGTAACTATTTTAACATATCAAGCCAATAAGTATCTCTAACAACTATATAGCCTTACTAATATAATAATTTCTTAACAAGTATGAGTGTTATAAAAGATAATTATTACCATAATTGGGCTCTCTTCTCATACATCCAATCATTTCTTATTGGATAATAACGTCTCTTATCCCTATAACAAATATATCCTAATTGTTCTGATTTATTTTTTATACCTAAAAACTTCATATCATCAGGAGTACCATTATTTTTCACCACCTCCTAAACCCATTTTGCCAACGATTTAGGCCTTTTCTTGTAAATTTGTAGGCTTGCTGGATAACTGTTACATAGAAATTTTCAAACCAATAGTTATATTATCTCGCAATCAAGAATTTCCAAGATCACTTCATTGATCTTCCTAAAATATTTCACTAAAATAGTTATACAGTATATTAGAGGATCTAACCCTGCAGATCACATTTTTTATCTAGCAGGTGATACATTTCACAATTTTACCAGATGATCATGCATGCAGATTATATAGCGCAAAAAATAAAAAATGTTATATATTGCATTTTTGGCATTCAAAATAGTATTTTCAGAAATATATCTTTTCAAGTGGCTATCTTGATAGTAATTAGTTCTACTAAAACCATTTTTAGGTATGAAAACTAAGGAGTCACATATACTACAATATATGTAATTTGATGAAAGATCATGGACTTTATCATATTTATATAAATTTTCATATATTGTAATATAGCCATTCTTAGAAAGAATCCTTGGATTCTCTTTAAGTATTTTTCTAAATGGATCACGGATACAGGAGCACCACATTTCTGGTATTTCATGATCATATCGTTCACCTAAAGGACATAATTCTTCTAATATTCTTTTATATTCTTCAAAGTTTACATCACTATAACCTACAGAAACTAGCTTATATTGGGCTCTACTATCTAAATCCATAATAGTGTTTTAGTAGATTATAACAGATTATAATGATTTTATTGATTTTATAGTGTTTTTAGCAATTTTAGCTGGTTTAGCAATACTATACTCTAATAAATATCAGATTCATTTTTATCAGATTTATAATTCATGATTCAGTTAAATTAGACCCGATCACTGTAGACAGCTAAACTATAAAATTTGTATCACAGATATCACCAGTGTATCACTCTTTTGCGGTATTTCAAAGCTTCTAATCAGTTCCTCCGCAACTCAATTACGAGATGATCAGCTAATCAGAAAAAAATATCAATTTCACAAACGTAATCTAAAAAAGAACAAAATCTGATGCAGGCAAACTAATATTTTTTATTTATGCAATCTGGACACGCGTGTATATAATTACGCAGTAATGTGATGCAATAAACCACATATGTAGGGTTATATGTTATATGATGTTGAGTGTGATATCAGGTGATAATCATGAAGACTCTTCGTATGATCTACAAGAAATACTGATGCTAGTAGAGTCTAAATACGGTATCTGGGTTCATCAAAATTACGCAGAAGGATGAATTAATCATGTACTATAGTGTAGTATATTATCAAACTCAAGGTTTCGGCAATTACATAATTGGTATCATCCTTAGATCCTTCCAATTTCAGATGATAAATAAAACACTAGCTCTAGTGTAGAACTTTATTTAAAATTTCATAATCTTTATAAAAATCATGTTTTGAAACACCGATCACTTTCACAGTACAGGCATATTAAAGCTATACATAAAGAATAATTATGTAATTTTATTTTCCCATCAATGTCATAGTCACATACATCACTTTGCCTGAAATTTTAAAACTTTTTTCTTACACACCTAAGCTAATACAGAAAAAAATAGAAGAATATGATAGCATTACTGACTAGATGCAGAATCCTAATCCTACCTTCTTAACACTTTTTTTGATAAAAACTTAATACCATTTGTTATATGCTTACAACCTATCTTTAATGCTTTGTAAAACGCAATCGTATTCCTTTAGTGCGTGCCCTTCAAGATAAGATTACTTTTACGGCTATTATCAGATTTGAAAATCCTTCAATAGTCCTTGGAACCTCCACATCTTGCAGGTCTATTGTTATAATAATATCTTCAAACAGATACTTTAAAACTGAGATTGTCAAACGAAACCCATTTGATTGAATGCTATATGTTTCAATGTTTGTAATATTGGCTTTAGTAGAAGAAGGTAACGTGATAAAAAGAGCTGTTAATATAACCTTCAAATAATATTCTAATTTTTGTAGATTGCCTTTTCTTTTGCCTCTTGTATCTAGAACGCCGTCTTCCTAAGCTAAGATTTTGGTTTCCAAAGACTTGAGAAAGCCTTTTCTGTCCAGTTTTGGAGCGCTATGGCCACCAATGTCCAAAAGTCTTTTTAGTTTTTTGTACAATCTAGATACCAATTCCCCATAGTTTAACTTAAGATCACTTTTCTCAAGAAATGCATTCCTCAATAATGGCATCCAAATATAAGAGTTAAACTCATATTCTGACATATTTTGAGTTAAAAAGTCATTCTTAAACAGAAAGAAAAAGTGATAAAATAGGTTTTGTACATATATAAGATCATTTGACGTGATGGAAATATCTATATGATTTTCAGTCAAACACCTTTCTAAAGTCTCTAGATCATCCACTTCGTAAAATTTATCCAAATAATTCAGAACTTGTTCATCACAATCCACAATGAATTTATCAATTTTTTTCCCATCAGCAAAATTGACAGCCTCACTATTCTAGTCCTGGATTTGGTCTGCAATATAGTTACTATAATTATGGGGTAAATATTTCATGCAATCGAGGTTGTAGAAATTAATGACACGAATGTTAAGTAGGCTCTTTTCCACTTCAGTTTTCTTCATTTTCTTTATATCTGATAACGTAGAATCCAATATATTTACACCATTAAATATAAGTTTTTCACCCAGCAGGATACTCGTCTGATAATTTTTTAAAACATTATCTGCTATATCCCGATTAATGTATTTTCTTGGTTTTTGAACTTTAGCTATTTGGGCTAACGCAAAATCAGAGTTTCCTATATTTGTATTAGATTGTTGCGAAGAAGTCTCAGTGAAAGCATTTATAAGGGAGCAGAAAGGGATTCTTTGTCACTGAATGTTGAATCATTATCAGTTCGCTTCACTTCAGTTCCGCAGGTAGTTTGGATCTGTGTATTCAAAAAAGTTAGCAAAAGCATTAAGATGTTTTGTAAGAACTAAATATTGAGTTATATTCTAACCTTACTCAGCAGTAACGATAATACTGATAACCTTTCATCATTTTGTTTGTATTTTGTGAACTCAGAACGTGATCTCTTGCGAGCATTCTTGAGGGAAGAAACACAGATATTTAAATAAAATAAATACAATTTGTGCAATCTATATCGATCACAAACCTCAGCTTCTTTGACTATTTTCTTGGCCATGTTCTTCATCATATTTTGTGTCTTATCTCTTATATTAATGTGACATTGTAACTGTACATATACCAGTTAATAAAAAGCTTAAAAATTATTAAGTACAAGGAAAACTTACTGTCCGCATAGCCCTTTCTAATTCTAGACGTTTCTGTTCATTTTTGTAACACATCAACTTGATTTTGTTCCAAAAATTATTGACATCCTGATATAATCGATGCTTCTAGCAAAAGGGGTGAAATATATTAGTATAAAAAATTTGTAATACATATGTGATACTGAAGTAGAATGCTTGGTTGATTTAGTTGATGCAAGCAGACCACAACAGACAAATAGACCATAAGACGAGCAATAAGTAGATGCCTAATGTAGTTATGTGAGTTTTACCCTTCTTAGGACTGCTGGAAGTCTTCTATACTGTCTATGACAGATCACAACGGATAAGTAGACCATAAGATAAGCAACAAGTAGATACCCAACATAGTTATGTGAGCTTTACCCCTTCTCGGGACTACTGGAAGTCTCTCATACTGCGTGTCATCCATCCAAAAATTTTAATATAACTTACATCAAATCCTTGCAATAGCATGTCAATACGTTTTTTAACGTCTTCTGAATCCACTTGCTTCAGGAAGTCCAGACATTTCTGAAGTATGTCAGCCTCCTTTTGAAAGGAAAAAGTAAAATCTTTTTATTATTACGATATTGGTAAAAATTCAAAAAGCGATATTCTTCAGGCTTTGTTTCTGTAAAGTAACTATAGTAGGTATTTATCATGAGTATAGTGAATTGTCAAAAACGTGATGAAGTGCGGTAAATCACAATTTATATAACCTAGTCACGAGGTTGTACACATACAGGTACAAGGGCAGATTACAGGCACAGAGGCATCCCATACTTAAAGGTGGACTTTTGTTAGGGAAAATTACCTTTACTCTACTTACTCTCCTCTTATTTGCTCTCATTCCTACTTGAAGGGCAAAAAGAGCAAAGAGCTTTGAATGTTTTCAAAATTTGAGACTGAACTTTTATTTACATAGAACAAATTTTCGATGCAAATGTGAATAATGACTGCAGACTACATATATGGTATTGGTACTTCTATACTAATTAGAATCAAATCTCCTATTACTACAATCTTCATCATTACAACTTCTATTCTCTATTCCTTTGTTAAGTCATTTAAAATCTGTTGGAATCAATGGAAAGAACTCTTTTTAACGCTGTTGCTATAATCTGTATAGTCATATTCTAATTGATTTCTAAATTGTTCTAATTTCGCTTTAAATTGTTCTGTAAGAAATAAAATCGAACTATTATAAATAACAATTTTATAGTATTAAAGTTATACGAGTATTAATCACTTACTAAGCTCATTTTTTAACTTATTTGTAATTCTCTTTGTATGGCCAATCTTTCATTCCAGAGCTACGAAATTCTTCTATTGTAAGCTCGAGAAAATCACTACCGCAGATTCTTTCATTTTTTAATATGTCAAAATCTTCTTGTATGAGACACAATTGTTCTTCACTTCTTAAGAATTTGAGAAGTTTTTCTGTATTATAACCTTAAAATTCAGTCAAAGTAATAGTAGTCATTTTTTCTTCGTACATAAGAAAGCCTATTTTGATATGTATTGTATTTATAAATTAATTTTTAAATTAACCTTAAAACCTGTTATACACTGAAGCATTTGAACCTATCTTCTCCCCCTTCTTTCTACATAACAAATTTTCTATTTATATAAAATATATTACATAGAAAGATATAACTAATATATCTAATATATCAGTTATGTCTAATATGTCAATTATGTCAATTATGTCTGATATGTCACATATGTCAGACATATCAGAAATATTAGATATACAATCTATATAAATTAATCATCCTTCTGTATCACATAAGCTGCATCATGTTTATTTATTCACAATACAATGTCTCAAAAATAGGAATGGCTTTACATTTGATTTGTTCAAAAAGATGTTCAGCTGTCCAATAACCTTCTTGATTTTTACCAGGTTTTAAATAACATTATGCTTCAGGTATATTTGGATTTTGCAATATATTAGTTTATTGTAAACACAAATATCTATCAATCTCAGTAAGAAATTCACTAACTATTATAGATCTTCTATTTCCTTTTTTTTGTAATAATAGTTCTTCATTTTTAGCTCATATTCTACATTTACCATCACTAGAATAAAAAATGCATACATCATGAATTATAAGAATTTATTCTTTTTTTCCTTTAGGTAAATTAGGATATATATATTTCATTATTTCACCTTCATACTTGGACATATATTTCTCATGTTTAAACATTTTTTCAAAAATACTTTGCGATATTGTAAAATATTATCTCGTTCATGTCTATCATAATATACCTTGATAATAATTTTGAAATAAATAACTAAGGATATTAAGCTATCTCATTGCGATCATTAAAGAAATATATTTTTTCTTAGTAACTCCAATATTAGATAATAGCTCTTTTTCAACAAATTTTTTAAATGTAGTTAACATGGCTTTAAAATTTTGCTCATGAATTCAGGTTTAGCATTTTTTAGCTATATCTTCATTATCAATTAATCTAATAGTTTTTTGATATTTTCCACATCTAGATACCAGAAATTTATTATTTGTATAATATCAGATGCGTTATGCTTTTCATAAATCACTATCAACAAAAACTATTTTAGCTACTTCTAAACTAGTATATATTTTTTCATTATTTAAGCAGGTAAGATATTCAAAGACAGCTTGTTTATTATTATATTTAGTGACAGTCATTTAATTATATTGCTTTTCTAATTATTCTTTAGATTTCGTATTTTTTATCAATTTGGTAAGTATTTCTATTATTAACTTTATCTTCTGAATCGCTTAAAATTTGTTCTATTTTATTG